TGAATGAAATTGTTGGGTATCAGTAAATCAAGAAAGTTCAGGAACTCTTCCGGCAGCAGCAACAAATAAACATGCATGTCAATCTCTACAAATAGGCAATTTGGTGATTGTGGTTTGATTAATTGTGGTAATTCTTTTGTTTTGTCCGAAAAAGTATTACTGGAATAGCTTTTTCGAGGATGGTAGACGTTTTAGATACTTTCGTTTGCTGCAATTCGAACAATGACCTCTACGATACTGGTGCAGAGCTTTTCGCGGGCATACGTTGCGTCTTTAACAGGAACAATCTTGCATTTTTTTCCTCATTCCGGGGTTTCCAATATAGGAAATTCATGTATTTGTCATTTCATCTTCATCTTTCCCGGGTATAATACGAACAAATTTAATGATCAGCTCTCAGTTACGTGGCTTGCCGACGCAAATTGGTTAGAGCCCTGCATCGGTATCGCAGTCAGGGTTAATCTGGGCAAGCCCCCGATTTTTTCAGGCTTTTTTTGTTGCAACTGCATAAGTTGAGACTGTAACTGTGCATTTGTTATATCTATGCAACTGGCCTTAGATCAGCTCCTAGTAGTACCGGAAGAGGCGTCATTTTTTATGAACATGGGTCCAGTGTAAAAATTTGATAAACTACTCTCACCTCACCCGCTGCCCCTGAATAAGTTTGAATACATCCTGGTCGTCATCAATTCTTGCGTCTCACCAGGAGCCCATCAATGCGTTAGAATTAAGTAAATATTGGGAGTTGAACCACAAGTCGACAATAAAGTTTTTAAATTAATCTGAATCGAAGCTGGTTGCGTTATAAAAATAAATTTATAGTGAATTATGCATCGTTCATTATTTGAGGCATATTGTCGGTCTCTGCGATGTCAGAGGAAATTGCTTTTATTAGTTTTTTCCTTCAAAAAACACAATATTATTGCAAAAATATACATAAATTTTTATTTTTTATTAAAATGCATTCATAAATTATGCGAAATTTATCTGCATGAAATCTTTTGGTAAAATTTCATGCTTTTCTCCAGAGGGTAAAATCGGTATTTTCTTCTTTTTCAAAACGTTATTTTATATTTTTGCCTTTCCAAAAGGGATACAACAATAATTAATAGCTTCAGTCTATACCGCTGTAAAAACCTGCTGAGGAATTATCGAGCCATTTCAATATAGTGAATTTCCTACAATTTTCAAATTTACTTGACGCTTTACTTAATGCTTGTTTTAGTCAAACGGTTTTAGCTTTCAAAGTTGTTATAAACAGCAGCTGGAAACGTTTTAAAGTTCCTGTTGATAAAACATAATTTTTGCTTCAGCTTCAAGCTTTCCCTACGGCTAAAACTCAGGATCAACATTCCTAATGCTGTATGATCTTTCAGGTATTTGAGACTTACAAAACTATTTTCCATGAAACGAAAGGTATTTCATTAACTTACTTTACTTTTTCTTTGTCCGTTGTTTGTTTGTTTTTTTTTCCTATTTTAAATTTCATGAATGTCCGTCTGACATTAATTATAAGACTGAGAAGAAAGGAAGAGTTGCTGCCCGTAAAAGTTGATCAGAGCTCATGATTGTAGTACAGTTTAAGGCCAATGGTTTACGCTAAACTTTAAAGGCAAAGTACAATAGGCATATAGCCTTTATTTAAAAAGAAAATACAAAAAAAGGGGGAAAATGTAAGTTATATCGTCATTTATGTTACTTATAAACAGTAGACGTCAACCTGATTGTAGTGTCAATGCCGTGTTCTTCAGTACTGCGCGCCAGCCCGGGTAAACATCCTACACGAGCACATTATACAGAAGAGTCTCGCTCGCGGACTTCTCCGGAAAGTGAAAATATGTACATGTAGTTGTTCAATTCTATATCCTCGGTTTCAATTTAATTTATTCTCTGTTTTTGAAAGTTGTGCTGAGTTAAGGGTTGAGACTGTCGCGTAATTTTTCCGTGCGAACGTACGTAAAATTTACGTATGAAAGGCCGCGCGTAAAACGTGAAAGTTGAGCGAGGTTCAACTCTTACGTTTACGCGTGACCTTTTATACATTGCCTCTATTTTATTTACGCGCGTAAAATTTAACTGCTTACGCACGTAAAAATTATGCGACAGTGGAAATCCGCCTTTATCCGAGTCAGTGCCCTACCGGCAAAAACACGGACAGGCTGGCTGTAAACAAAAAGAGAAGTTCAAATACCGAGCTAGGCACAGTATAACATAAGATTTCCGTCTTTGTACACTCATCTTGTGGGTTCATTCATTCGGCTTTATTTCCGCCGATCTCTCGTGTCTGGTCTTTTTCCATCCCGAGAGGAGAGCAAGAACAAGAAGTTCCTAAACCTTTGAACATTCAACCTAAGCTGAGTGCTCTGCTTTGCAAAAGCGACGATTTCTATTTGAACAACAACGGTCCCTACTGCAAAAAGTTTAGAAATATATTTTCATTTTCAAATAGCAACATAAGCAAAACTGAATATTAAGATTTCAAATGAAAGTTTAATCACAT